ACAGCATGAGTGCTTTGGAACATTCTGATTTTTCTTTTTCTATAGAGATAAAATAATAAATGTTTTGATTAAAAGATAAGTCATCATGTAAAAGGTTAAGTAAAAAATATAAATAAAGCAAGATTCATGTAGTTGTTGTCCACACTTGCACTAGACATCTGTGGTCCATCTCGTTCTTTCCTCGCCGACGCCACACCACCTATTCAGGTCCAACGAACCAATGAACTATATTCCAAAGTCTCAGTTCTCAGAAGAAGACATGCAAGTGGCCAACAGGTACATGAAAAATGCTCAGTGTTACTAATCATCAGGGAAATGCAAGTTAAAACCCCATGAGATATCACCTCACACCTGTTAGAATGGCCTTTATCAAGAAAATGAAAGATAACTGTTGGTTAGGATATGGAGAAAGAGGAACTCTTGTACATTGCTGGTGGGACTGTAAATTAGTATGGCCATTGTGGGAAACAGTATGGAGGTTCCTCAAGAAAATACGAATAAAACTACCATACAATTGCAATCCCACTACTGCGCATATACCCAAAGGAATTGAAATCAATATGTCAAAGACATACCTGCACCGCCATGTTCATTGCAGCTCTATTTACAATAACTGAGATATGGAATCAATCTAAATGTCCACCAATGGGTGAATGGATAAAGAACATGTGGAGCATATACACAGTAGATGAAGAGTAACTGCTGGACATAGCCTTATTCCCCCTCCTCCTGGAAACTACCCTTGGCCAAGGTAGTTACCCAAGGAAAGGCATGTCCCCTTTAAGACAAACAGAAGACTGGAGGCAGCAGGGACCCTGAGTAAATGAATTAGCATGCTGGCTGGCGCTAAAGCACTCTGGCACCAGGAGAACAGCAAGTAGATTAACTCATCTACTCAGCCAGATCTCCTGTGCTCTGAGTTATGTGAGATGTGAGGGTCTGTGCATCAGCCTGCAAATGATTTACACCCCTACTCTGATCTGTTCACTATATAACTGTTGTATATACCCCATGGAGATGCTGATATACAGCTGAATGGCTGTCATCAGCAACTCCCGTAAGTCTAATAAACCGTTGTCTCCACCCACTGGAACACCGGCTAAGTTCTTCAGAGCAGGCAAACACTATGTGAGTGCCCTCTCAGATGTGGGGCTCCCACATTACGATGGAATACTGTGCAGCCTTAAAAAAGAAGGAAATTCTGCCACTTGCAACAACATGGAGGATCATGGAGGATGTTATGTTAAGTGAAATAGGCCAGGCACAGAAAGACAAATACTGCATGATCTCACTTATATGTGGAGACTAAAAAAGTTGAACTCATAGAAATAGAGAGTAGACTGGTGGTTTCCAGAGGCTGGGGAGGTAGCGGGGAGGGAAGAAATAGGGAGATGTTGGTCAGAGGGTACAAACTTTCACACAGAAATGAGGAATATGTTTGGAGATCCATCACACAGCAGGGTGACTACAGTCAATAAAAATGTATATTTCAAAATAACTAAGAGAACAAATTCAGATGTCTCACTATAAAAAATGATAGGTAAGCTAGGTGATGAATGTGTTAACTAGCTTGATTTAACTACCCCACATTGTATACATATAACAAAACATCACACTGTAGCCCATAAATGTATACAATTATAATTTTGCAAATGAAAATAATATAAAAAATAATAATAATACTAAAAAAACTAAAGTCAGAGTCTTTAGACCCAAGATGTTCAGTCTCAGGGCAAGGGCATCTCTCCTACACTGATGGAAATTGTCTGTCGCTTCCCCAGAATTCTAACTCACAGTTCATAATTCATTTGTTTGCTTTAGTGAAGGTTTCCAAATATCCCGTTACAGCCTGTGCACTCCCCACGGCTTTTTGTACAGCCTGAGACACGTGTAAGCAAAGTAATCATGTAGTTATATGTTCCAGTCAGAAAATGTTCTGCTGAGAACAGGACAAGGAGGGGCTTCAACCCTTTCTTCTGAGGAGTTCTGGTTCTGTGGCACTTCAGTCACTTACCAAGGCCACTGGGAGGGGCCCGACATTCTGCGTCCTGGGAGGTGAGCAAGCACCGAGCAGGTGGCTCCTCCTGGGCCTCCCATCATCCTCCTGCCTGTGCAAGTTACAGCTGTTGACACCTAGTCAGGACCTCCCAGCGCAAGAAGCCCCCACCCCGTTATCCCTCTGCCATGCTCCCCTGAGCGCTGACCAGAGAGTCCCCGGCTGAGATATCCCATATCCCCGTGCCCACCCTGCCCTGCACACAGAGAACCTGGCGTCCTCTCCTCAGTGCGCAGGGCTCTTTCAGCAAAGCAGATGGCTAGGTCCTTGTGGGATGGGGTAAAGCCCGCCCCTTCCCTCAGTTATCACTGCTACAGCTAGAGAGGTTTCTAATATGTTTAAAATGAACAGTTTACACCTTTATCAAACATGATTCAAAAGATATTTCACATCATTCAAAGCATCTTTAAAATGTGTTACAGTGAAAACGTTTTCATGGCCAGGTGACTGCCACTTTGGGTTTTCTACACATCTGCACCAGCGGTGTTTGTAATCACGACTTCTGTTTTCAGGGAACAGTACAGCATTTCTGCCCTCAGAAAGCAGCTCTTGTCCATTCTCCAGGAACATCACCTCCCACCCTCCGCATCAAATGACCTGCTGTGTGAACAAGCCCTGGTTTGGGAGACACCAGGCTGTCCATTTAAGATAGACAAATCTTCATTTATCTCATTTTCAATGAGAAAAAGATAAATAACTGTTACTAATAACAGCAACAATAAATGTTTCTTATCTGACTACTGAACTCCGATGAAGATCCATTCTCTACATGCTCATGAGCCTACAAGTTCCTCCACACATCATCCACAGTTGTTTAGAGGACTCAGGACCTCGAGGCTGAAATGAATTTCAGCTACAGAGGAGCGCTGCATGCCTGACTTGTCTCAGGTTAGGGTGACTTGATGCTCACACTCCAAGCAGGGAGTGCCCTGGTATTGTGCCAGGACACGAGAACAGCTGTCATCGCTCCCCCGATCTCAAAAGGAGCCCCACATCCTCCTCCTTCCCAGCCACAGAGCAGTCTGCACTGCACAGACCCTCAGGAGCTACCACGGTGGGTTTGAGGGGTGGCGGGAGGTTGTCCTACGTACCAAATCAACAAGTTTTAATGTCAGAGGAGCCACAAAGACAGTGGGACATTTCTCTGGAAACCCGTAGCCTGGGCTACATGTAATCATGCACTTTGGAGCTTGAACAGCCATTAGCAATGTGCTTGAGGAAGCCTCAGGAAATGAAGGGGGTGTCCACAGGTGCACTGTCAGTGTAGATCTGGGGCCACCATCACAGCCATGGCTTTGTCTGCTTTCCACAGCATCAGGCCAACCTCCAACTTCACCAGTCTCCTCCTTCATATTCCTTCTCAAAGTTACTGTAACTCTGCATTACAGATGAGCAAGTCATTCATACGGACTAAGAAACTCGCACTGATGGGTAGTATACACACAACCTCAATATCTCTATACTGGACCAAGTGATAGTTATAACAGCAAGTTTATTTATTTTAACTACAGAATAAGATCTGACAAATCACAGGTAAACCTGGGACATGATGATGATGATGCCAAAACACCCGAACAAAAGCAGCAACCCCCACCTCCCCAAAAACTAAAAATAAATTTCAAAAACTATCATTTACCCAGATTTCTAACATGCATGACACAGGGAACAAAATACTCAATTCCTTGCTTTATTGACTGAGATTATTTGGCTCAATGTCTGCTAACAAATAAGCATGAATGCTGCCTCTGGAGGCTACACCTCCACAGTGAGGCTGTGATGTGCATGTTAATAACTGTTCCCTTTACTGAGACAACGGGCGAGAACCCACACAGTCTCAGAAACAGTGGCACTTCAGCACATCCTGATCCACACCAAGCTGAGGTGAAAAGCATATTAAAAACTGCCATCTACACAGTCTCACAAATAACAGAACGTTTGATGGCTCCCGTGCCTGCCATTCCCGCCACCCAGCTTTAGTGCACGACAAGCCCTTTACCTTCCTCGTCAGTGGCACTTCGATGGGCACAGGCACGACTTCAGCCAGCAGGCAGCCGTAGAAGGCCACCATGAACGCCGCCGGGTCATTGTTGGGGAACACCAGCGCTACCTGGACAGACGGGTCGGACACAGGAAGGAGCGTGACATTAGCATGTGATCTCCTGCTTCCTAAACTACGTTAAAGGATTTAAACTTCCAAGATACCAGCACTAAAATTTTAAAAAAGAAAGGATGCTGGAATAAAAATACATTTTATTAAGATGTGTTTTAATAAGTATCACATACTTTTTCTTAAGTTACTTGAAAAACAAAAATGTATTAGCAATAGTCATCTGTAATACTGTTACTAGAACAAAACTACCTTTACTCTGTGTATACTGTCTTCCACACCACACATATTTTTACACAGAAGAAACTACAGTATATTTACTATTTTGTTTCTCACTGTTTTCGCTAAGCTATGTAAATACACTTTGTGTCTATCCAGCCTTCATAATTGCAGTCGAATGGCTACACAATTCTACACCAGGGGCTGGGCTGGCAGCCCAGGAGCCAGGGCAGACAGGACTCAACTAAGATCAAATGTCAGCTTTTAGCTCTAGGGTGTTACACACAATCTTAGCCTAACACCTAGTTTTCCTTTCTAAAAAAATGACAACAGTGACAGAACCTGTATCTTCATGTTGTGGTAAAGGTGAGATGAGAGAAAGTATGTAAGGAGCTAGGGACACATGGGGCACGCATGTTAACTACCCGTAAACACAAATGACCAGCACTGGCACTTAATGCCGCAGGTGCACCTGTTCTGGCTGCTGCTGTTGCAGATGAGTCTTCAATGAACATCCACGCATATGCGGTACCCAGCCCCCGTCCCCTGCCTAACTCAGTTCTCCTAGGAGCTAAATCCCTGAGAGTGAACAACTGTGGAGTTCTAAGAGTGCAGTTAATGTAAACCACCAAGAAGTAATGTTGTTACCACATACTGGATACAGTGATTTCTAAATGTAGTCCTTCCTAATAGCCCTTAACAGTATGGTGTATCTTAATGACAAACCCTTTCCAGGTGATTGTAATTATTATTCCTTGTACAGACTGGTTTTCATTCCTTTTACCTATTTTTTAATAAGTTCCCTAAAATCTGAATAGAATTTTAATATTTGGTAGTATTAACTCATATTTGATGGAAAATTTTCTTAATATTTTCCAGTTTTATTATTTTGTTGGTGCAGACATTCAATGTTTTATGTAAATTTGTCAAACGTTTTCCCTCTATATTACCACCTGTTATTTAACAAATATTTCATCCAATTTCCCTTTGACTTAAAACTGTGAACTTTTAAATGCACCTGGACTTACTTTTATTATTTCTTTTCTTGAAACATAATTGATTATACATATTTTGGGGGTACAAAGTTGACTCTCAATCCTAAGTACAATATGTGATGATCAAATCAGGATAATTAGCATATTCATTACAAAATGAAATCATACTTTGTGTCCATTAACCAATTTCCACTAACGCCCCTTTCCCACATCTAGTAACCGCAGTTCTGTTTTCTCCTGCTGAAAGCTCAACGTACTATTGAGATTGCTCTCTCCCCCCCTCCTCCCACTTACGAGTGAGGACATTCTGTATTTCTCTTTCTGTGCCTGCCTCATTTCACTTAATAACTTTCTCCAAGCTCATCCAAGCTGCTGTGAATGGCAGTATTTCATTCTGTTTTATGGCAGTATGGTATTCCATTGTGTGTGTATATATACATATAAATATCTAGTAATTGGTCGATTGACATTTAAGGTGGGTCCATGTCTTCGCTATTGTAAATAAGAGATGTGATAAACATGGGAGTGCAGGTATCCCTTTGACATGATGATTTCCATTCCTTTGGGTACACACCTAGCACTGGGATTGTTGGATCATATCTGTAGTTTTATCTATAGCTGTTTGAGGAACCTCCATACCATTTTCCATAATGGCTGCACTAATTTACAGTCCCACCAACACTGTAGGAGGGTTCCCCCTTACTCTGTATTCTCTTCAGCATTTGCTATTTCTTGTCTTTTTGATAACAGCCAGTCTAACTGGGGTGAGATGATATCTCAGTGTGGTTTTGATTTGCATTTCCCTGATGATTAGTGATGCTGAACATTTTCTCATGTGTCTGTTGGCCATTTGTATGTCTTCCTTCTAGGAAATGCCTATTCAGCTCCTTTGCCCATTTTTAAAATTGGGTTATTTGTTTCCTTACTGCTAAGTTTTTTGAGTTCTTTGTATATTCTGGATATTAATCCCTTGTCTGGTGCATATTGCAAGTATTTTCCTCCACTCTGTAGATTGTCTTTTAGCTCTGTTAATGGTTTCATTTGCTGTGCAAAAGCTTTTTAGTTTGATATAATCCCACTTGTTTATTTCTCTTTTGTTTCCTGTGCTTTTGGAGTTATATTCATAAAGTCTTTGCCTAGCCCTACTTCCTGAAGTGTTTCCCCAGTGTTTTCTTTTAGGAGTTTTATAGTTTCAGGATGTGTATTTAAGTCTTTAATCAATTTTGAGTTGATGATGGTATATGGCAAGAAATATGGGTCTATTTTCATTCTTCTACATATTGATATCCAGTGTTCCCAGCACCATTTACTGAACAGGCAATCTCTTCCCCAATGTATGTTCTTGTTGCCTTTGTCAAAGATCAGCTGGCTGTAAGTATGTGGGTTGATTTCTGGTTTCTCTTTCCCATCCGTTGGTCTGAGTCTGTTTTTATGCCAGTTCCGTGCTGGTGTGGTTACTACAGCTTCATATTATAGTTTGATGTCCAATGTTCTCTCTTAAGCAAGGCTTCCTGTTCTTATAGCATAGAAAGTGCCCTTCATGATGCAATTTTCACTGACAATCCTATTTCTTGATTCCTGCTATGTCCTGCAGCTCTCACGTCACTCTCCCCCATGGGCAATTGAGTTCAGTAGCTTTCATAAGCACCTAAATACCCTGATTCAGCAACAATGCACCATTTTTGCATTACCTAATTCTGCAATTTGACAAATTTTTCTTTAGAAATGTCCCGACTAGGAGTTATTGATTTTATCATGAGCAGTCAGATGAGACATGCTAGTTATCTTGACATCTAAGTGAGAAGAGTGGCAGGAAAGGAATCAGATGGCAGGTGACAGGGGCACAGGCAGTGTCTCAATGTCGGTCACATTGGTGATTTGGCAATGTAGGATAGTTGTTGAAGACAACATTCAGTCTGGATTACATGAAGTCTCCTTTCTACATGGCATTTCTGCGGTTTCTAAAATCAGCTATACAAGAGAATCAGAAGAGAAGAGAAGGACTCTGTGTGTCTATGCATATAACCATACCAATTATTTCTGAAAACTAGCTGAGATTTGCAGTGGCCACGAATGTTCTGCCTTCTTTCTGTGGACCCGGTGCTGACTGCATGTTTTTCATATCTTGACGTGGCACAGAAACAGTATTCTGTTCAATGCTGGTGAGGTTGCAGGTTACCTCTGCTGCACAACTTCTTCCCAGAAAGCCAAAAAGTTTGAGGAAGCCAATCAAGCTACATTAGGAAGCAAAACACTACCTGACTTTAAACTATATTACAAAGCTATAATAACCAAAACAGTATGGTACTGGCATAAAAACAGACACACTGATCAACGGAATAGAATAGAGAATCCAGAAACCAACCCACACACCTACAGCCATCTGATCTTTGACAAAGGCACCAAGACTATACACTGGGGAAGAGACTGCCTCTTCAGCAAATGGTGCTGGGATAACTGGATATCCATATGCAGGAGAATGAAACTAAACCCATACCTCTCACCATATACTAAAATCAACTCAAAATGGATTAAAGAATTAAATATACACCCTGAAACAATAAAACTTCTTCAAGAAAACATAGTAGAAACACTTCAGGAAGTAGGACTGGACACAGACTTCATGAATACGACCCAAA